TTGTGGCCCTCAAGGGAGGATTTTAGGCAATTCAAACCTAAAAGCAGATCTGGGACATAACAGGAATGGGTATCCATCAGCTCTTCTAAGTCCATTTAGAAAACTTCCCCCCTCTCTCCGCCCCAACAGCTCTCGTGCCCTAGGGACTCAACTCTTCTTGCCCAAATTTTATAGCGGCGCCAGTTTAGGATCTGAAGGCAGGTTTAGCGGGTTGTTTTGGATGAGAGCTTTGAACACAAGCCAAGGACTCTTGGTTCTACTGAATGTCTTGTTATCTTGTGCAGATAGATACACAGTGCTCTCATTTTTTTTTTCATTTCTCTGGAAAAAGTCTCAAACTACTGATGTATTTCCTCCTCTCGTTCCCAAATAATGCTATAGGAATCATGCATTTAGGCTCAGTGCTGAAGGCTGTCAGTGTATAATCATGGAACATTTACCTCCTCATCATGAATCTTGTGATTCCGAGTTTTCATTGTGGAAATTGAAGCTAAAGCCTTTAAATGGCTTTGTCTAAGGCCCAACTGACTGTGGAAGTAAGTGCTATGTTCAGGCCTCTATTTTCAGCTCAAAGTTTGAACTGTTGCCCTGTGTACTCACCAGCTTGCCCCAGGAAGGAGTCCGACACAAGCTCGTTCATGCACTCACGATTTTGCCATGACCTAGGGCCTTCAACTACAGTAAGGAACAGAAAACAGCTTACTTTTCAGGCTCTTGGAAGGCAGAGAAGAAGGGGAATGAGTGATGATGAAATTTGGTTTCAGATTAATTTCATTTTGAAACCAGTGATTCAAGCTGCTGGTGCCAGGAAGCACCCGAGGAGTTGTTGTAATAATCTGCCCCAGGGCTTAGCACTTACCAGCACCTCTGTGACTCAGAGAAGGCCGCTCATGGCCCTGCAGGTGCCTCAGCAAGTTTCCCTGGGCAGATCAGTCTGTCCAGAGATCTCCATCCTTGGCCTCTCCTAATGAACCACAGAGCACCCCAGCCAAGCAAGCATTTCCAAACATGGACAGAGCCAGCTCCCTCACGCCTGCTGATCCGTGTCTTTCCTTCTTCCTTGAGTGCGTAGCATTCAAATAAACCATATGACTGTACCAAACTCTTCACCCTGTTTGAGAGCTGTTTCTCTGAGGGGTGGAAAACTGGAGTCAGAAAACCAATGTGAATTGGGGTACTTTAATGTTGTTGTTAAGAGGACTCAATCAAGTAGGTTCCAATTCACAGCCAACCTGTATACAATAGGAGCTCTGATGGCCCAGTGGTAAGGAGTTGTGCTGTCAACCCAAAGGCAGGCAGTTTGAATCCTCTAGCTGCTCTGTGAGAAAAAGAAGGGCCATTTCCTCCCACGTATTTTATAGCCTCTAAAAACCCACTGGAGGGTCAGCTATGAGTCAATTCCAACTCAATGACACACAGCAACAAACAACTATGTACAACAGTGCCCTGTCCTATGCCGTCCTTATGATTATTGCTGTGTGTGGGCCGATTGTTGCAGCCACTGTGTCAGTGTATCTTTTGAAAGGTCATCTTCGTCTTTTTTCCTGAGCATGATGTGCCTCTCCAGATAGCATGTCTGAAGGATATGGGACTAGCCTGGCTTTGAAGGAGCATTTAAAAAAAATAATCTTGGGGGTAGAGGAGTGGGCAGAGAGAAAAGTGCAACAATAAATGAATGGAAATCCAGAGTCTCTGTAAATTTTCATTAAAATTAGTTTTAAAAAGCTGTAACAATGAATGTATGGAAATCCAAAATCTCTGTAAATGTTCATTAAAATCAATTTTTAAAAATAAAAAAATTTTAAAAAGCTATAATTATTTTAAAAAAATCTCATTTAATCTTCCCAGTAACCTTACGACATACAGCATAGGTGATATTATTCCCATCTTCCAGATGAAACTAAGCTTTCTATCACCCACCCAATTTGGTTTTTTTTTTTAGTTTGTAAAAAGTTTTTTTTTTTTCACCCACCCAATCTGTATAGTCAGTTAAAGCATTGTATGAATTTGAACCAGTCTTTTTTTTTTTTTTTTTAATTCAGGATCCCATGTGGTAAATCACTTATTCACCTTCATGGTTTGTAACTTGCTCACGCTGCTTCCTAGTTGTGAGACCTCGTGTAATTAACACTATCAAACCTCAGCAGTGGCTTGTTTCCTGAGCTGCCAGAATGAGGGCGGTAATATCCATGTGGCCAGTGATTTGGGAAAGATTTGGACGGGAAAGTGCTTAGCTGAGTGTCTCAGGCAGAGTGGGGTTTTGAAGCTTGCTCCTGCCTGCCCGGGTCCATCCCCTTTGATTGGGTTCTGCAGTCAGTTGAATGTGGGTTAGATCTGAGGGTGGCACGCCCTCTGGTGCCACTGGAGCATGTGGCGTGAGTGGGAGGCACGAACACCACTCGTATGTAACTACTGACTTCCCCATGATTCTTGGCACTGTCCCCTCGAAGAATTAATGGACAATCCAGATCTATGCCAAGAATGTTTGGAAGTGATTAACAGATGGACACTGGCAGACTTAAAAGAAAACTTGGGCCTGCAGGAAAATGGGTAAATTCCTGGTAATCCCAATCACTGTGAAGATGCATTTCCCTCCGGTTTCTTTTTCTGTGCATAGTTACATAAAGTATATCTGCATTATATGTTTTAGATATGCTCTTTGTTCTAGCTCCTAGCATAAATAATGTTTTACACAGCTGGGGAAATCACCATGGAATTGTGAACTACAGTTTATTTAACTTTTGCCCCTTGTTTGAGATGCTTTAACCTTAGCTGCACATCATTCCGGGTGCTGCTAGCCTAAGGCAGAGCAAAACTGCTCCAAAGTGTTTGCAAAGCTGTGTGCTGTGTGTAAAGGACGGAGCCCCAGTGGGGACCTGGTGGCCCTTGGGAACTGGAGCTACATCAGGCTTAGATCCCTCTTCCACACTCCCACTGGCCGAGCCTGCACGGGCCAGGACTCCTCAGCCTCAGCGGGGAGGTCGTCATGGAGGCACGGCTGGTTTCTAAGCAATCTTCTCTTCCTTGCAAGCACATTCCAGGCTTCCCACAAAGGAGCCTGCTGTATGTGTAAGCCTGGGGCTCCTTTCTGGCCCTGGGGCCCTGGGAGTGGAAGGCAGACACTTGAAAGGAGACACCTGAAGCTTCTTTCTGCCCCCTTCTGGCCACTTTACCCAAAAGGTGACCAATGTCTGAACTCCTTTGGTCTGATTTTAAACTTTATGTCAGTGGAATCATACATATGTCCCCCATATCTGGATTCTTTACGTTGTTGGTACATATTTATAGTTGATTTCTTTCATTGTGTGAATCTTTCTATTCATTCTACCTTGAAGGACATAGAATTATTTCCATTTTCAGCTATTTTGAATAGTGCTACTGTGAACTTTCTAATACCTGTCTTTGGGTGCGTATGTATTTATCAGAACTTAGAGAATGTGTATATTCGGTAGGAATTTGCTTGTTTAAATATTTTATTTTATTTTGAGGAGCAGCTTGTTAGGTTCCCAGTCAGCAGTTTCAGTGCAAAATTGTTTAGTCACTGGATGCATTCTGTATAGTCAGTTCTAGAAGAGAGTGCAGGGAATTCTGGTGGCCTAGTGAATAAGGAGTTGCTCTGTCAATCAAAAGGCAGGCGGTTTAAATCCACTCTGATGGAGAAAGATGGGCAGCCTCCTCCCGTGCAGTGTACAGCCTCTGAAAAATCCTCTGGAGGGTCAGCAAGGAGTTGGTTCTGACTCAACGGTAATGTATACACAGCCTATACAATTTTCCAAAGTGATTATATGTCAGACTTCTACTTTTTACATTATGCTCATGTTTGGATACTTAATAATTTCACATTACTTGTTAACAAAAAGTTCACCTCTTATCCTTTATATTGGGGCTCTGGTAACGAGCTGTGCTGCCAACCCAAAGGCACACGGTTCAAATCCACCAAGCTGCTGTATAGGAGGAAGATGGACAGTCTCCAGTGTAATTTATTGCCCCCGAAAACCCCCTGGAAGGTCAGCTATGAGTTAATTCTGACTTGATGGCTCATAACAACAACATTCTTTATATTATAGGAAGATTATTTTCACATTAATGTTAATAATAAAATCAGAGCCTAAATGATGGCTTTTCCCAAAAGAATGGCTTGGAGAACTCACCCCAACAATAACACATGCACAGCACCGTTTTGCTGCAGCATACTGGGAGCACTGGTGTCAGGACCAGCATTAGGGAAACTTGGACCAGCATAGAGTTCTGATGGGGACAGGGCAGAGACTGGCCTCTGTCCAAAAATACCAAAGTCAAGCCCATTGCCATGGAGCTGCTAATGGGTTCAAACCACTAAACTTTTGCTTAGCAGCCAAGCACTTAACAGTTGGAACCGACTCATAATTGACCCTCTTGTATGATTTATAGCTTTTGGGAGCCCACTGGAGGGTCAACTATGAGTCAGTTCCAACTTGACATTAAGAAAGAGAAAAAACTAACAACCAGAGGGTGTCCCGAGTGAGCTGTGCATTGCATGTAGGTGCCTTTGTGTGTGGTCTTCGGAAATGCTGAATTATCTTCTGCCTCCATCAGGGACCTTGAGTCAATCCCGTGTCTCAGGAGGCCACCTGGAAAAAACACTGCTGAATGCCAAAAAAATCCTTGTCCTCAGGAACAATGAGAAGGTGTTTCGCCCAAACACTGACCATAAAGTGGTCTTCTCTCTCAAAGTCAAGCTTGGCAGTTCCATCTAAACTTGCAGGTCAGGAAGTGTAGACCCCAGTTCACAAGCTTCTTGTTTGCAGTCCTAGGTTCAGCCAGGGAACGTTCTCTTTTTTTAGCCATCAAGGTATAGCACTGTCTTTCCTAGAATCCAAAGGAAGCACTTTTAATTAAGTAAGATATTGTCACTGGGGATTTGTTGAGTTCTCAGCCAGGGGACCTTCTTAGGTCTTGCTCCCCTTGGAGTAGTTTCCAGAAGATGCTTTCTAATAGTCTCTCCCCCCAACCCCCCACAGTAATTTACACTGACTGTCCTGGGCAAGAGGCAGCTCTGCTTAGCACTGATGATGTTGACTTTGCTGTGCTGCATGATGGGACCATCCAAGTGAAACACTATGTCCACCTGCTGGATGGAAGAAGGACGTTCTCAGTGCATGCCCAGAATGCTGATGGCCAGGCGTCTTTGATCACTGTGTCTGTTGTGAGAAGAGTCACGCCTTCAAAGGAGGTAAGGTTAGCCCCGAGTGCTGTCCATAGCTCAGGACATTGGGGCTGATCTATGTAGAGAAGCATTTACAGCTAGTCAGAGAGTTAGGGCAGTGGGTCAGCGGGCTGCCTGGTTAGGGTTAGGGTTAGGGTTAGGGTTAGGGTTAGGGTTAGGAAAGCCCAGTTTCCTTGATCCCTAGACTTCCGTGTCATTATCTCTCATGTCACACAAATAAACCTCAGTTGAAGGTAGCTCTAACATGGGACTGCCAACTCCATGAGTCAGTCTCTGGGAAGATGAATCTGAGACTTTTAGTCATACTTGGTTTTTTTCTTCTTCTTCTAGAGGAGGCAGTAAAGATAAGCACAATAAAATGTATACCCACTGGGACATTTTCCATGAATAGTTCATTGATGGTGGTTCCATGTTGTAGCACCGTCTCCTCCATCTGCCTCTAATGTTTCACCACCACTAACTTCGACCCTCTCCCCTCAAATTCTCTTCTGTGCTTTACAGTTATTGTTCACTTAATCTCCTATAGATCATTCTTTATAAAAATGTAATGCTGAAGGCGAACATTATTTAATGAGCTAACTTTTTTCTTTTCAATTAAATGTTTGAATAGCTAATATATCCACATGGTTTAAAAATATCAAAAAAAGTTATAAAATGAAAAAAAAATCTTTACCTGTTTCCATCTGCTTCATTTCCTTTCCATCTATGATGCAAGAGAAAACACAGATAGCCATGTTACTGGTTTATCTTTTTTTTAGATTTTTTTTAATTTTTTTTTATTATTTGATTATTTTTGTGTGCGTGTACCATCAAATCAGATCTGACTGGTACAGGAGGAGATTGTCCCTCCTTCCCCGGCAGAGCATCTGGTGGATTCGAACCGTGCGCCTCTGGGATTGTAGTTGCAGCTCTTTACCAGAAGGCCATCAGAGCTCCCCTTAGATTTTTTATTAAGACAGTTTTTTTTCTGAAACTATTTCTCCTTTCCATTATGCAAAAATTAACATACTATTCATGTGTGCATACTTTTTCTTATATTTCATACAGCTCAATGATTCCTCCCCCTCCTCCTAGAAAGCAACTGTTTTTAATTGTGTGGGTGTTTGTGCATTCTTACGCACTTTGTCTATTGATACATAAACAAAAGTGAGAAATGTCTTCTTTTTCTACCTTTTTACACAGGTGGAACAATGGCAAGAATAATCTGAGCACTATATTGAGTTCTACATCCTTCACTTTTCCATTGGTTAGATAAAATATATCTATATTTAAAATACAGGATATATAAATACATATATTTTAGAAAATATAAATTCATATATATTTTTTTTCCTGTTGGTTATATAAAAGTTCTTTTCTATGTCAGCAAATGGGGAGCTCCTCCAGTCATCATTTTCAGGGCTGCATAGCATTCCACAAGATAGATGCATTGTGGTTCTATGTAAGGCAGCACTTGGGTTGTTTCCAATAGATCCATGTGGGTCTTACTCCTTACCCTAAACTCCTATTGCTAAGAAGGCACTGGGGTCCATTCCTGATGTTTGCACATCTAGGTTAAGGGATCGTCTCTTCTTACAGGAGAGGAAGGTGTTGAAGAGTTCCCCATCCAAACGTATCTTACGAAGACGCAAGAGAGAATGGGTGGCACCACCCCTTTATATCCCTGAGAATGGCAAGGGTCCCTTCCCCCAGAAGCTGTATCAGGTATGACTGCACCTTCTTCCTGGGAGTCACTGGTAGCTACAGAGACTCCATCCAGAGGTGAAAGATACTGTTTTTAACTACCCAACCTGTAAAGGGGCACCTCTGGCATGAGAGTCAGGTCCAATAAGACCACACAGAGATTCCCACCAACACAGAGGGTTCTTTACTACAATTGGGAGGAAACTGTTACTTTGTCAGTTGCCACTTTCTTTTGCTCCCAGCTCAAATCTAATAATGACAGAGGCACCAAGATCTTCTACAGCATCACAGGACCTGGCGCTGATAGTCCTCCTAAGAATTTCTTTACCATAGAGAAAGAGAGCGGCTGGTTGTTGTTGAATAAGCCACTGGACCGAGAGAAGATTCCCAAGTATGAGGCAAGTAATCATTAATATTCACTATAAATCAGGAGACAAGAAACAGGACCCTAGTGGAAAGTGGGAAGGCCGGTCACAGGCTGATCCCAGGACTGTGTGCTTACAGCTCTTTGGCCATGCTGTGTCCGAGAATGGACCTTCAGTGGAAGAGCCCATGAACATCTCCATCATTGTGACAGACCAGAATGACCATAAGCCCAAGTTCATCCAGGATGTCTTCAGAGGAAGTGTACTGGAAGGGGCAATGCCAGGTACGAAGATTGGGGGAAGGACAGAGAGGGATCTACTGGGCTCAGCCCTGACGGTGGGTTAAGTAAGATGACCTCTCTGCCATTGAATGTCTTGGTGGTGTGTCTGATCAACTGGGCTCTCTTAAAACACCCATATTCCACTATTCCATCTCAAGATGCCTGAATCAGAATGATCCTAGGCCACCAGTACTCATAATATCTAGGAGTAGTTAACTCAAGATGGAATAGGGCTTAATACTGTTGGGAACCTAGGTTGAAGAGTTAGTGAGGCAGAGAGTTGCCTTGGGCATGTTAATGGAATAGCATCTTTTATCTGGTTGCTCTGCGGTTTTGGCTTCTACTCTCCAGGTTATTTTAGGGTAGCTACATCTGGAGCTCCAGCCGTTACATCTGGAAGCAGAGACAGGATGAGAAGAACAGCCCCAAACTTGTAAAAATACTTCTCCCAAAATTCTCCTTTGTCTCCTACTTACAAGGGAGTCTTGAAAATAGTCTCTTTTCCTGGCAAATTTATTTAGGCCTGTCCCTAAAATCTGGATTCTGTTTCTAAAGAGAGAATGGAAAAATGGAGTCCCAACTAGCAATCTCACCCTTCAAGCAGTAGATGAGTCTAAGTTGAAGCCAGTGGGCAGGAAGAGCCTCTCAAGGTTCAGAAGTGGGCAGGGCTGGACTCAGAGTGAGTGCCCACCCATCCCTGCTTCTTGCAGGCACTCCCGTGATGCAGGTGACAGCCACAGATGAGGACGATGCCGTCAACACCAACAATGGCGTGGTTGCTTACTCCATCCATAGCCAAGAGCCAAAGGAGCCAGAAGACCTCATGTTCACCATTCACCGGAGCACGGGCACCATCAGTGTCATGCTCAGCGGGCTGGACCGAGAGGTGCGTGGCCCTGAGACGAAGTCCAGGGGCTCAGAGTCAAAACCGTTGTCCTTGTCTTCAGAGTCCACAGAAGAGCACTGGGCCCCCAAGTCAGCTGGGGGTGGCTGCCACTGTGTTCACGTGGTGGTGTCCCACGGCACCCTCGGGCTAATGGCCCGCTGCCAGACAACCTCGTTAAACTACCTCCAAGGCTGAGGAGGCAGCTGTAAAATGCAGACGTTTGGTATTTTTTGTAGGTTTTCTCATTTCCTCTTGGAATGGCTCACTTAGCGTGCACATTGCTCAGATTTGTCCCTTGTGTGCTACAAAGTAGAATTAGCTCCATGGCTATTGGAATTGCCTCCTGTTTCCTAATTAATTTGCCCAAATCTAATGTCCCCATTCGGGACAAGCCAGGGTCAGGGGACAGTGCTGCCTGCTTTCCCCTCCCTCATACCACCCCTGGCTCCTGTTGTTTGTAGCAAGGGGGAGGGGGTAGGACCAGGAGCTGAGAGAGCATTGTGAGAGGGGCATGAGAGGATGGAGAAATTCCCCCATGCCCCAGGATGTCCCCAGAATGCGGCACCCCTAGGTGGAACTCACTCTGCTGATTCTCCCCAGAGAGTGTCTGAATACACGCTGACCATTCAGGCTGCAGACATGGACGGAGAAGGCTCCACAACCACAGCCACGGCCGTGGTGGAAATCCTTGATACCAATGACCATGCTCCCGTGTTTGACCCCCAGAAGGTAAAGCCCCTTCCTCCTTCCTTACCAAATAGTGAGGACCCTGGGGAAAGGCAGGCACCACACTTCTGTTAAGGGTGACGGAAAAATTCAGAATAGTGATGGTTAAGCAAGGGTGAGTGTATTTCACATCACTCAATGATTCATGTGAAGATTATCAAAATGACATTTTTTGCTATCTACAATTTTTTAAAAATTTTTATTATTTTGTGTTCATGTACTGTCAAATCGGATCTGACTGGTACAGGAGGAGATTGTCCCTCCTTTTCCAGCAGAGCATCTGGTGGATTTGAACTGTGTGCCTCTGGGATTGCAGTGCAGCTTCTTGCCACTAGGCCACCAGAGCTCCCTGCTATCTACAATTTTAAAAGGGGGGATACTGAGGGCCACTTTTTTGTGAGAAA